TTTCATGAGTCTCGAGGGCGTCTGGGCTGGGAGGCCTCCGCAGAGTGCCAGCGCAGAAGCCGCCACACCGCGGGCCTGCCGCCGTCGACGGTCCCCCCCGAGAGTGGGGGGCGGGGCCGCCGGCGAGCCCGAGCCAGAGGTCGAGCACCTGGACACCATCACGGAGCTGCAGCGGTGCTCCAGCTACGCGCTCGCGGAATACAGCCAGGCCCCTCCTCCCGCCCCCCCTCCCCCTCCTCCTTCTCCTCCTCTCCTCCCCCTCCCCTCCTCCTCCTTCCTCCTCTCCTTCCTCCTCCTCCTTCCCCTCCCCTCCTCCTCCTCCTCCTATCCTCACTCCTCCTCCTCCTCTCCTCCCTCCTCTCCTCCCTCCTCCTCCTCTCCTCCTCCTCCTCTCCTCTCCTCCTCCTGCTCCTCCTCCTCCTCCTCCTCCTCCCCCCCTTCTTTTCCCCCTCCTCCTCCTCCTCCTCCTCCTCCTCCTCCTCGTATGTTTTGGCATTATCTGTGTATCTGCTGATCAATTCGAATACTCCTACGGGAAATCACCGGCGCCCCCTGCCTTTTCGGAGGCGCCTGTGTGGCCGAACGTTGGGGCCAGAGCGCGGCCAAGCTATCGGACTACGTGTTTCCCCAGTCGTTGTGGAATCCCTTCGAGGAACACGTGGGGGAGAAAAGAGAAGAGGAAGAGAGGGAGGAACACTGAGGGGGATGAGGATGAGGAGGAGGAGGAGGAGGAGGAGGAGGAGGAGGAGGAGGAGGAGGAGGAGGAGGAGGAGGAGGAGGAGGAGGAGGAGGAGGAGGAGCCCCCCGGAGGGGTGCCTCGGCGTCGGGCGGTGCACCGGGGCCCTGGGGGAACAGCATTCCACCCCTTCCCCTGGGTGAGCAGGTCTCCTGACGAGCATCCTGGCCTTCCCGGCTGGGGGTCCCTCGCCTGGGAGTCTTGCCTGGGGGACCGGCTGTGCCGTGCCTCCCTTCCTGCCCCCTACGGTCACGCAGGTCTCCCTTGGGCCCCCTTCAGCCTCCCTGGCTAGAGCCTCCCCCTCTGGGAGTCGTGGCTGGCGGAGGTTCTCCACCCACCTCCAAGGTGTGAGCGGGCCGCATGTTGGCGGGCCGCGGGGTGTTTGGGGCGCGCGGCATTGACGCGCGTTTCCGCTGGCATGAATGGAAGAATGAATGAATGAATGGATGGATGAATGGATGAATGAATGAGTGAATGAATGAATGAGGAGGAGGAAGAGGATGAGGAGTAGGAGGAAGAGGAGGAGGATGAGGAGGAGGAGGATGAGGATGAGGAAGAGCAGGAGGAGGAGGAGGAGGAGGAGGAGGAGGAGGAGGAGGAGGAGGAGGAGGAGGATGAGGAGGAGGCAGGAGGCGGAGGAGGAGGAGGAGGAGGAGGAGGAGGAGGAGGAGGAGGAGGAGGAGGAGGAGGATTTTTTTGCTCGAGGGCAGAAGCGATAGCCTTCTGACGTGGCTAGCGCCGATACCCTGCAGCCTACAAATCTGCAGGTGTGCGAACGGCAGGCGAATCAGAGGCCGATGCCCTTGTCCTTGCCCGTGCCGACGCGCCCAAGCGGCTCGAAGCCCGACTTACCCATGCCAATGTTGACCATGGCGTAGGAGCCGCGGGGCTTACTCTTGCCACCCTTGCCCAGGCTGGGCTCGTTCTTCATGCACTCGAGGGGAGCGGAAGCAGCCGACGAGTTGTACTCCTTGAGCACGCCCTTGTGCTGCGACTCTCGCACAACGTCTGTGTCCTGCACCGCCTGGTCAGTCTCGAGTGCCTTCATGGGAATGGGGTTGTCGATGGTCTCCAGCTCCTTCTGCTTGCCCTCGAAACTCAGGAGGGTGGAGGTCCGCTGGTCCATCAGGTTGAAGGTATCGTGCACCACCTTCTCGATCTTCTCCTTGTCCCCATCCCCGTACTTGTAGTGTGGATTGTCGCAGCCCTGGTCCGAGTCCGTGCAGACAAGGTTGGACCGGTGCTCGTCTTTCTCATCCGAGGGGCCCGCCGTGTCGGACAGCTCGGATTGCTTGCGCCCGCGCCTGCGGCCACGCTGCCGGCGCCGCTTCTCCGCGACCGGCAGGCCAAGGACGCCGGCGCCCTTGCCAATCTCGGCGTGGGCGGCGAGGTTGCGGTCCAGGCGGACCGCGCCTGGGACGGGCTGTCCCGCGACCTGGAGCGAGAGCGCCCGCTCGATCGCCAGGAGCCGCGCCGCCACCTCCTGCTCGCCCGCCTCGTCGAGCGGTGTCTTCTGGACGTCCTGCTGCAGGCCCAGCAGGGAGGCGCCAGTGCGGAGGGCAGCAGCCACGGCCGCAGCCACACTCTGCCGCCCGCCTCCGCCCTCCGCCGCGCCTGCCGCCGCCGCCCGAGCCAGTGGGGCGAGGGCCGCCACCTGACCCGCGCTCGGGGGCGAGGGGACCGTAGCCATTGCCAGGGCCGCAGGACGAGGGGACTGAGACAGAGCCGCTCTCTTTGCCCGCCGAGGCGACGGGACTCTACGGAGAGAGACAAAGCGCGCACCACGCCCGCCTGGCGCCCGAGGCAGGCTAGAGCCAAAATGGCTACGGAAAGGAGGAGGAGGAGGAGGAGGAGGAGGAGGAGGAGGAGGAGGAGGAGGAGGAGGAGGAGGAGGAGGAGGAGGCCTCTTGGGAGCTTCTTGGAGCACTCTTGGGGCCTCCTGGGAGCTTTCTGGAGCTTTCTGGTGGCTTTCTCTTGGAGACCTCTTGGGGGCTTCCTTTGCTGTTTTTTTTTCGAGGGCCTCTTGGAGGCTCTTTGGCAGTCTGAGGGCGTTCCTGGCCAGTCTGAAGCTGTCGGACGCCGTCTTGGGGGCCTCTCTGAGCCGACTCAGGACCCTCTTGGGGCGCTTCAGGGCCGTCCTGGAGGACATCTTGGGCATCTGGGATGTCTCCAGGGCTGACTTGCGGCCCTCTTGGGGCTGTCTTGGGGGCTTCTTGGGCCGTCAGGGGCCATCTCGGAGGCCTCTTGGGCGCTCTTGGGGCCATCTTGGTGGCCTCTGGGGCCAGCTTGGACTGTCAAAAAAATTGAAAATGATCAAGCGCCAGAATCCGTCAAAAACCTAAGGACAAACACTGATGTTGGCTTCTCTGGGGCTTGCTGAAGGTCCTATTGGACGCCTCTTGGGCCGTCTTGGAGGCGTCTTGGGCGATCTTGAGGCCATCTTGGGGCATCTTGGGGGCATCTTGGGGCCATCTTGGACTCTCATGCGGCGATCGTCGCCGTCTTGGACACGATATTGACCGTCTTGGAGGCCACGTTGGGGCCGTCTGGAGCGGGAAGACCGACGACTTTGGAAGTTGTTCGGCTTTCGTGTAGGCGAGTTGTCGGTTTTGTTTCCCCATTTTCCGCGTCCTTACGCGCCATTCAGGGTCGCCAGCGGGCTGGGCCGAAGACCTTTTTTTTAAAAAACATGTTAGGAGGACCGATCACTAGAAAACATCCAGCACGCCGTGCATCTTGTGGCAAGCCACAGGGGGCGCAAACCCGCTGCCGTGCCTCGGTCGCGGGTCAGTGGTCGCCTGGGTGCTTGTGGGGTTCTCTTGGGGTGCCACTCGGGGGACCCTTGAGGGGGCTCTGGGGACCTCCCGGAGAGCCTCCCGGGGGGCCTCGGAGGCCTCTTGGAGGCCACTTCGGAGCCGCTTGGGGCCTCTTGGGTGCTTCTGGGTGGCCCTCTTGGGCCGTCTCAGGGCCCTCTTGGGCCGTCTTGGGGGCCTCTTGGACCGTCTCGGCGGGTTTCTGACCTCGCGCGACGAGCCTCAGGAAATCCGTCCCGTGGGCCTCTGTGGCCCTGCGAAGTATTAAAAGTATTACAACCCTCAATGCCGAGAGCTCGGAGGGACCTGAGGACACTCCAGTGAGTGTGTCAAGGCATGGTGGCGGATATCATGGGGGCTGCCCAGGAGGCTTCAGACCCTGGAGGATGCCTTTTCTGATGAGGGCGGTGGTGATGTCCATGGTCAAGTCTCAGTTGGTGTGCCACCAGCTTTTGGACCCTGGATTCCTCATCCAATAGTTCTGTATCCAATGCCCTCACCGTAATACAGTCAAGACACTGGAGTAAGGCGGTTTTCGGGCCGTTACTTCGATCTTGGTCGGGGAACCTACTCGAAGCCGAGGCTCGCCGTGGCCAGAGAAGCCCCTTCGTTCCTTATTTGGCGTTCTTTCTGGTACGACGCTGATTTTTTGTATGTACGTATGTGTATGTATGTATGTATATATATATACACAAATCCAGAGTGGGAGTTGTGTCTGGCAGAGCTCTCCACTTGCACAGCCAGGCTAAAGCCGAGGGGCGTGAGCGGCGCTCTGCGCGCGGATGGGCCTCCTGTCAAGGCTCGGGCTCGTGGGCAGACTTGCGGCGCCGGGAGCCCCCCTGTCCTCCTCTGGGGTTTCTCCGTGGCAGGATTTGCCCGCCCATTCTGCTCCGTACGGTAGGTTCGTGCGGCGACCGCGCGCCGACGACGCCGGCGGAGACGTTCGAGGTTGAATTCTGCGACGCGGACGCACCGAAGGACACAGTAACGCCACAGGACCCGACTGAATTCAATCTTGAATGACCAGGGGTCGCAATCGATTCAAGGTGGAACGATCGACGCGGTGTCAAAATCAGTTGCGCGCTCCGACGCCGCACGAACCTACCGTGGCTTCTCCGTGGCAGCATTTGTCCGCCCATTCTGATCTGTAGATCGCTTGTGGCTTGCCTCGCTGTCCGTTGTCGGGATAGCTCTCCTGAGGGGCAGCGGACTTCCTCTTCTCGATGGTTCTTCTGCTCGGGCCTTCTCGTCTCGGATCGCCTTCCTGGCCCCCTGTCCGCCCTTCTCTTGCTGGCCAGTGCCTGGGGCCGCTGAGGCAAAACGAGGAGGAGGAGGAGGAGGAGGAGGAGGAGGAGGAGGAGGAGGAGGAGGAGGAGGAAGAGGAGGAGGAGGAGGAGGAGGAGGAGGAGGAGGAGGAGGAGGAGGAGGAGGAGGAGGAGACGGCGGGCCAGGCGTCGCTGGAGGAGCACGCCCTGGGCGCCCAGGGGTGCTGGTACTTCGAGGCCACTGGGCGGGTGGTCTTCAGCCCCTCCGGAGCCTCGGGCGCCGCCTTCGCGGACTACCGGAGCTCTCGCCGCTGGGCGAAGGGGCCTTGCAGGGGGACGGGTCCTGCGGGTCTTTGGGGCCTCCTCCTTCTCCTCTTCCTCCTCCTCCTCCTCCTGTCTCGGGCTTCCGGGCCCTCCAGCGGGGAACAGCAGAGCTCATCAGCATAGATATTTTTCCAGAGGTCCGCGTGGATTTCTCGGATCGGCTTTAACCCCCTGTCGGCGCCTCCGGCGTGCGCGCCAAGCAGGCAGGGGGTCCAGCGCCGATCCAAGAAATCCGCGCGGACCTCCCAGAGTTCATGTGTATTGAGTTTTTGGTTCCTCCACTCCAACGGCCCTCCCGACCGTCGACGAAAGACGGCTCGTGGCGGAAAGCTTGTCTCAAGGGAAGGCCCCGGTTCGAGGACCCGCTTCGTTCGTGCCACAGGAGTATCTGCCTGGGGATCTACCAGATCTACCCCGAGGCCTACACGGTTGCCGCCAGGGGCGCCACGTGCGCAGACATCTCCCTAACCGCGCTGAGCGATCGCAAGATCTGCCTGTCGTACGCGCTTGCCGTCGGCCTCAACTTCAGCGACACCGACCAGGTGGGCCTCTACGGGTGCATGTACTTCGAGCCTGTGGGGCAGGTTGTGTTCGGTTCAGCTGCCCTGGTGGGGCAACCGCCCAGGTTCTCCGACTACAGGAGCGTCTGCGAGGGAAGCACCACAACAACGACAGGCACCACGCTTTCCTCGACGTCTTCGACTTCGACAGAGGTGATGGCCCTAACAGTGGAGCTTCCTGAAGTCAAGACAGCTGGCGCATGGCAGATGACCGTAGTGCTGCTGTTTATATCGGGAGGTCTTGGAAGCCTCGCCGTGCTGGCTGGATGTATGATGCCGAAACCCACGCGTGGACCGGTTCGGTCCCTGCCATCAGCCGTGTGACTGCGTCCGCTTCGGGAGCGCGCAAGGCGGAGAGGGTCAGTTTTTTTGTTTCGTTGTCTCACGCGGGAGATCCGTACCACAAGCCATACGCCTAAGCGCGTAGGCACCCACAAAACAAAAACAAATAAATTTTCGATGCAGGTCTGTTGTTGCGTGTGAGCGTAGCGGTGATGAAGGTCGCATGTGGGTAGTGCGGCCGTCCCCCCCCCCCCCCCACACGCCGAAGCATCAAAACGGAGGGGTGCACGCCGAGACAAGGCGCGACTAGGATCGGAGGGGGGTGAGCCTTGCAGGGGCGTCCTTGGGAGGCTGTATGGCCACTTGGGGCTTTCTTGGAAAGGCTTTGGGGCCTCTTGGAGCACGCTTGAAGGCATCTCGTGCGGTCTCGCGCTATCTTTTTCCGTCATGGAGGGCATCTTGGCCTTTGACACCCTGGTGCCGTCCCCAGGAGGCGGTGGGCTGGACACCGAAGTGAGCAGACTGCACGGGAGAGCCCTGCCGACGACTATTTCCTCTGGGGTGCCCCTCCTCTTGCTGCTGCTGCTGCTGCTCCTCCTCATCTTCTTACAGTAGGCGCATCAAATAAGAAGTTGGTCTGCCAGCAGATGACTCACATAACTTTCTTACTTCTGGACGTCCCCGGACACCCCTTGGAGTTCTGCGAGGTCCAAGGTCGACCTATGATAGCAAGATTTCTTGACGTATGTATCTGCTGTATCTCAGAGTTCCCTGGACGGCTCCATAGGGTTCCCCAGAAGCCTCTGGAGGCCCAGAAGGAGCCCAGAATCTTCAAAGCCCTCGATCCCCGAGCCACGGGCCTGGAGCTTCGATTTCCTACTCCTCCTCGTCTTCCTCCTGCCCCTCTTCTTGGTTCTCCCCTTCCTCGTGCTCCAGCGTCCGAGCGTCCGATTTTGGTGGTAATTTGGTAGCTCCACGCGAGGGTGTTTGCCTTCGGATTGCAGAGCAGAGTTTCTGGGAGCCACCCAGACGAACCGCTTGCCCCTTCTCGTCGAGCATCAGCATGGGGAAGATGAGTCCTGAGGCAAAGGTGTCCAGAGTTTTTTCCATCTGTTTTCGGCTCTTGGGGCCCTTGCCGGGAACCAGCCGTCAAGATGCGGCTCAGGATGAGAAGCCAGACCCTGGCGGAGCCGGGCATCCAGGAGCCGTTCCCTTCGGGGCCCTGCGGCCTTCCGAGCAGTTTTCGGTGTCTTCGGGGAAGGCTCCGCAAACCTCTCGGGCGCTCGGGCTGCGATCCACTGGGGGAGCAGCTTCCAGGGGGGCCCAGCACCGTGTGGTGACGGACCGCGTGGTGACCTCGGAATCTCCAGGAGACCTCGCCGCACGGTCCGTCACTGCGCGGCTTTGGGGCCCTGGGAGGCCCCGGTCGCCCGAGACGCCCTCGGAGAACGGCCCGAGTCCCAAAACCGCGCGGAGGCGCCGAATCCCCGCTGACTTGCCACGCAGCGTGGCCCCCACACCGTTCGGGGATCCCGGAAGCTTGCCCAGGCGGCCGAAGCTGTGTGACCCGGGGATCCAGCGGGGCACCTGCGCCCGCGCTCCCGCGCTCGTCCGCCGCCCCGCTCTGGTTGAGACGGCCGACCGTCTGGCGTGCCGGTGGAGGCCGCGCGAAGGCTCTCGTTGTTCCCGCGCCCGTCGCCAGATCTCCGACGGGATGCGTTTTTCAGTCTGGGCGTTGTTCTTCGGCTCGAAGCGCAGATCCACAACAATTGGGCGGAGCTCCGAAAGTTTGTGTGTATGCCGCTTCCTCTTCCTCCAGTCCTGGGGCCCGTAGTGGGATCCCGGGGCCATCGGGAATGGATCGGGTGCAGAACACTGCACCTGGGGAAGGGGTCGGGAGTTCTGGGGCCGCGGATTGAAAAGCAATATCGGACGACATCCAGGTCAGACAAGGGTCGAGGAACGTTACCACTGTTTTTGTCTTCTTCTTAGGCTCCTGGGGGCCTCCCGTGGCCACGGCTGGGCGCAGCTTGAGAAACTGGCCAGGACGGACTCCGGGAGGGGTTCGGGGATCGATTTTGGATGCACCTCGGGCAAAGCCGTTTTGAGTAAACCGCATGTGCGCGAAGGTAGCCGTGCTTCGTCATTTTCGGTCTTGACAGGGAACTTGCTCTTGTCCAGGGAGTGGGTGTCAGCGCGCTTTGTGCTTCTTCACGCATCTCGCGAATCGTGGAGCTAAGTTACGTAAATTTTGAAACGTGGCTGCGCCATGGGATGTCCTGGGTCGTTGCTGCTCGCAAGGAGCAGTGATATATAATAAGTTCAAAATCGGCTTGGCGCTTAAGCCGCTGCACATGCTGTCCCAGAGTTGCTAACACAGAGCGCCGAGGAGGACGATTACCCCCCGTGAGCAAGTTCGCAGTGTCTGGTGGGAGCGACTTGGGTGTGTTACAAGTTGTAGGTGTTGCTTCTGCCGAGTTTGTGTCCTCTTTTGCCCGCGGTGGCTCCCTGAGTAAAGCTCGGGAGCGCTTTCTGGCTACCCCTGCTCAAACAAGCAGTCCAGAACGCGCACTGCCGCGGCGGAGTTGTCTGCTTTTTTGCTGAAGGTTACGTCTGTCCGAATGATCGCCGTCGGGCGTTCGAGTTGCTGAATGCTAGCTGCAGCCTCGATGCATGACACACGGCGGTGGTCACGCGGGCTCCCGTCGCTCCAAAGTTGAGGGCGCCCGTGGGGTGTTCCAGCTTTTCTGCCTGCGCGGCTCCTGGGACAGGCAGGCGCTTTCAGGCTGCGCCCCTCCTCTCTCTGCCCTCCCTGCCCTCCGCACCAAAAAGGGGGTCCGCAGGCGAGGACGACGCCCCTGCGGCAGCGGGCCCATCCACAGCTCTGCAGTCCCCTCTCTCTGCCCTGCGGCAGCAGGCCCCTCTCTCTGCCCCCCCTGCCCTCCGCACAAAAAAGGGGTCCGCAGGCAAGGACGACGCCCCTGCGGCAGCAGGCCCATCAACAGCTCTGCAGTCACGCGGAGAGGGGGGGGGGCGCGACGGGGGGGACCGCGACGGAGGGCCGCGACGGGGGAGCAGCGGCGGGCCGCCGCTTTCGGGGGCCCCGGCTCTGTGTGGCAGGCTTGTGCAGAGGACCCTTCGAGGCAAGCTGCTCTACCGAGTCGTGTAGGGCCCTCGCAGGTTCGGGCCCTTGGTTGCACGGAGCCCTCGTGCGGAGCCCTCGTTGTGTAGAGCCCTTGCCAGCTGACGGCCCCCTGTACAGAACCCTTCCAGACATGGATCGGGCCCTTTATCGAGTAGAACCCGTATGTGCACGCGTGCAACAATTTACCGACCGAGGCGTAGGCGTCTGCAGCAGCCGAGCGGTACCCCCTTCGCCATCAGCCCGACCCCGCTGCCTCTGCTCCGGGACGCCTCATCTCCACGGCTCCGCCCTCCTGCGAGGAGTGCTGCTGCCGTGGGGGCGAAGGGGACGGGTGGGCCTCTCGAGAAGTCCAGGTGGGTCGACACCCTCAGCAGGGGGAGCCCCCGTCTACCAGCAAGCCTGGGGGCGGGGCTCCCAACTCCCCCTGCCCACACACACCTGCAAGTCCTTCTTTGCACTGGAAGACGCCCCCCCCCCCTCCCTGAAAGACCAGCACAGGTGGGCCTGCTCTTCTTGCGAGGGCCCCACCTTGAGAGCAGGAGCTGCCTTGCATGCCTCTCTGGCGCGCAGTCTTAAGTCGGGCATGTCCCTCTGCAGGAGGAGTATCCAAGAATAGTGAAACAATCAGCTGGGGACGATTTTATGAGTACTTTAAACCACTTTGGATTTATTTTTGATTATCTTTCATTCATCGTCCAAAAGCCGCCTGTAGGAGGACATGCCCGACCTAAGCGTAGTCGGGAACACGACACAAGCAGTGATCCTACAGTTCAGTGAGGTGTCCATCGGGGTCCCCCTTGCGAGAGACATCCGCTTCCCCAGCCGTGCAGCTGTTGCACGAGTTTGCCCTTGTGGTCATGCGCTCCGAGAGCGTCTCAGGCGGCAGCTCTTCGTCCGGGTTTTGGAGAAGAGCCGCCGTGGCTCCGTGCAGCGCTCTGTGGCGAGTGTGTGCGGCGAATAGGCGAGAGCCGTACTCTGGGAAGGAGGAACAGCCCTCCACGCTTGAAGCTTCTGCGAAGTCTGGAAAACGAGTGTGCGTGGCGCTCGGGCGAGAGCCACATTTTCAAAACCACGTCCCTCCATCCGGTGAAGCTGCTGTAAACTTTTCAGACGAACGTGCGCTTTGCTACGGCGAGGGCCACATTGGGAAGAGTACCCGCCCTCCATCCGTGAATCTGTTGCGAATCTCAAGTCTCAGGATCATGAACGATGAGGAAGTCTCAGGCGAAACGCCAGGCCTGCCCTACCAACACGCCTGGGGTCGCGACAGGGATCCTTTTTTTTGTTTTTCTTGTTTCCCTACATGAAAGGGATGGAGGAGGAGGAGAAGGAGGAGGAGGAGGAGGAGGAGGAGGAGGAGGAGGCGGAGAGGGGTCACCGCCGAATGGAAGGTGGAGGGAGACGACGGAGACGAGGCGCTGTGGGCCTTCTGCGAAGTGACCTCCATCGATCTTGTGCGCTCGGCTCACCTCCGGCGTGCAGTCCTTGCGGCAGTCTTCCCAGGATCGCTCCCTCGGCGTCTCGTCTTGCTGGCGCTCCTGGCTCAGCAACGGCGTGTTGCCTGCCGCCCACCAGATACGGCCTGCCT